GAACTAACTGATGAACAGGATATTTCAAGAAAGTTGTTGCCTGTCTACTATGGCGCATGGCAGGTACTTGATACGGTGGGGGCAGATCCATTTGGACCTTCCTATGTGCTTGCTGTACCGCCTCATATCAAGACCTATCCGGTCTTCCATGCCTCAAAACTGCTGCCTTTCACGTCTGCTGATGCATTCCCTGATAGGCTCCCGCAGTTTGGATCCCCAATCCCTAGAAAGGGATACGAAGTTGAGAGCATCGAAGATCAGTGGGGCACAGGCCCCAACTCTGAATACCTTGTGAAGTTCCTTTTCCAACCTCACACAGAGGACCGATGGTTCCCAAGGAAGGAACTTCAAGTCTGCAAATTCAGTTGTACACGCCTATGAGGCTGAACAGAAGAGGCAACCTCTCAGACGTTCTCCTCGTGGACACTCCTAGCTCGGGGTCCTCGCTCCCCGGGAGGGTAGGAATGCAATGAATTGCAGGGAGATGCGGGCTGTACACTAATTTTGTTGCTGCCTGTTTTGTGCTTTCCGGGATTCGATCCCGTGATTGGTATTGTGTGTGTGTGTGTTTGTCTGTGTGTACGCTAACTGTGTTTGTTGGTTCCCTGTTTTGGGCTTTGGAGGACTTGAACCCGTGACTTGTAGTGTGTGTGTAGTGTGTGACTGTTTTTGAGGTTTATTGGGCTTGAACCTTGAACCTGTCGCTAGTAGTCTCTACTTCGTAGTCTTAGGCCACTCAGCCTTATTGTTTTGTCCTTTTCTGCCCTTCTGGAAACTGGTAGGCCCGTAGGTATTTCTTTGTGTGTCCTMGCCTTGGGTTCCCTTAGTCTAGGATTCCATCTAGATGCATGAAGGTAGATCTTGACTGTTGGGCCGTAGATGTTTTCTGTTTGGACGGTCAGATAGGTCTGTAGGTGGTTACTGTGTTGTAGGTCTAAGGAAGTCGGGTATATAACATTTGTGTGATGTGCTCTGAGACTCCAGCTTCCAGGCATTCTTCATAAGGCGGGATTGGCATGCTGCTCCACTGGTTGGGTCTTCAGCTTCCAATCATTCGCCTCGAAAGGAGATCCGCATGCTGCCATGCTGGGTGGCTGATGGATGTTAGTGAACTCAAGGAAGATAGCCTGCCTTGAGAGATGTGTTCTGCATCCTGGCGGCTGAGAAGGCGGATGACAGCCTGGCTGCCTGAGTATCGGAAGATATACTATGTCGCAGAGTCGTACGATGTCGTGAAGGGGCAACTGGTCGGGGGAAAGTGGTAGAGAGCCCATGCGAAAACCTTTTTGGCTTTTCGCGCCCAAACCTTTCCCATTTGGCAAGAAGAGCCCACGGGCCACGGGCACTACAGCCATCTATGTAAAAACGGGCACTACAGCCGTCTATGTAAAAATCTGGCGGCCAAGGTTGGGGCAACTGGTGGGGGAAAAGTGATAGAGACAGTCTAAGCAAAAACCTTTTTGGCTTTTCGCGCCCAAACCTTTCCCATTTGGCAAGAAGGGCCCACGGGCCACGGGCACCAATACAGCCGACTATGTAAAAATCTGGCGGCCAAGATTGGGTCCCCACCACTTGGCCTCTTCCTACCTGCTTATGAACCTAGCCCTGTATGTATTTGCGCAGGGCCAGATTTTCTTTTTGGTAGGCCCTTCTTTCCAAACAGAGAGATTGGGTGCGAACAATCAAAAAGATTTTAGCGTGGGTGGTTTCAACCAATTGTCCTAGACTCCCAACTGGGGCCTTGGCCCATATGCAGCGTGTAGTGTAGTTTGTGGGCAGGGTGTGACAGGCAGTAGCCGTCCAGAGGCCACAGATGCGACGGCATATGGCGGAGACGCACATTTTAGAAATGGTGGGCCTCTTCCATTGATACATGTCATTTTCCCATTTGTTTTTTTAAGGAGGGAAGGCAGCATAAGGAGGGAAGGCACCGTTTGCAAGGCGGCCGTGTAGTTAGCCACCTTCTGAAAAGCAGGGTGGCTAAGTAACTACATGGGGGGTCTTGTCCGATGGACTGAAAAGTTATGAAAATGGTGCGAAATAGGGCATGGAGGCGGCTGTGGGTCCAGGCCGCAGATCCGTGAATCTGTCAGTCTCCGTAGTGCAGACAAGATCGCCCCGTACTGAGGCTGAAGAACACTATTGATTTTCTCCCCTGCCTCTGGTATGTGGAGTATGAACCTCAGTAACTGTAGTGAGGAGTGTGGCCCTGTGTGGGATCTCAGTCTCCGAATGTGCAAAACGATACTGACTCTTCCGCTGGAACATGAACAGATACATTGCCTTTTTTTTTGTCTTCTCTGCATGTGGAGAGTAGTGCAGGGAGGCCGAAAGTGAAGGGATCACAAAGGCGAGAGTTTGAATCCACGGTTGCAGAAAAGCTCTTTTTTTTTTTTTTTTTTTTTTTTTTCCCCAGAGACTTACAGTCTGATTCTTGCCTACTTGGGGTTCGAATCACTGCTCGGGAAATGCCTCTGGGCCTAGTGTCGGGATTTTTTGTTTTTCCATGGGCCAGCCCTTTCTTTGGCGTGCGGAGATCAAAGGCAACACCCTATATGGCCTCCTGCCAGTGCCAAGATCGGCCGCACCCTCACGTGCTGCACAATTTTTACAATGATGGGACCACCGTGACACATGGCGCGTCGCCATGGCACAGACAATAATGCGGATGTACATTTCCCGCTCTCCACTGTCACACCGCGTACTTTTCAGGCACTACACGGTGCATGTGGGCCGAAGCCCCTGGTGGTGTAGTTCTGATGATCAGGGTAGGTGCCGAAGTTGTTAAGGTTGTGTATATGTGGGCCAATATTGATCGATCACTTGGCTGGAAAGGTACATGACTGCATTTGCCACAAATTTGCGCTCAAGTACATTATGAGTAGAATTTACAAACACATTAATCCTGTCAAGTTATAGCCAGAAACGTAACAGGACTGCAGTGACCACTCCTGATGAGTCGGTGAAACTCCGACAAAACAGTTTGTCACAGCCCCTCGTTTGTTGTCCTCTTCTCCCTCTCTGCCTACGGTTTACCGGGCAGTTCTATTTGACGATATATATGTCACAAGAATATCAGAGCGCAAAAGCGAAAAAAACAGAAAAGAAAGGAAACAGGGGAAAAATGAATTCGTTTTTTAATCTTCTTCCTTACAACTCCCCCTGTTCAGAACCTCTTGCGTCCACCTGGATGTAGGTTATTTATACGATATATATCAGCCTCCTGATGAGTCGGTGAAACTCCGACGAAACAGTTTGTCACAGCCCCTCGTTTGTTGTCCTCTTCTCCCTCTCTGCCTACGGTTTACCGGGCAGTTCTATTTGACGATATATATATATGTATGGATCCGCTGGCTGGAAATGTACTACCTGAATGCATTTAACTACGTTCGAAAGTAATATTTACTACCCCATTCATGGAGTCATCTGTTCTTTGGCCGTCTTCTTTTGGTAAGCACGTCAGTGATGAAAAACACAATCTAGTTATACTTTGAAAAAAAACAAAAAAAAGTCTCAATAAAAAAGAAATGCAGTCCTGAGATTGAGTGAGTAATTGAATGAAGCATGCAG